TGAGTATTAGATCCCTTCAACAACCAATCAGAATCTATCTTCTACCGTTGGGATTACATTTCACACTTGATTGCTCTTAGCATTATCTTCTATTTATGATTGAGTTCTGTAGAATAATTCTTTGTGTTATCTTGTCATGTTTTGCAGTGCTAAACCCACAGATTTTGACTTCCTGAAAGTGATTGGAAAGGGGAGCTTTGGAAAGGTTTGTGTCTGAACTATAAAAAAAAAAAAAAATCTAAAATTTATCCTAAAATCAAAAATTTTTTTTTCATTTTGGATAGGGTAGGGGAGTGGATAAAACACTTGCCAAATATATTTTTGCCATCTGTATTCTATTGGGGAAATTTCCCTTTAAAGAAGGTGTCATAATTTGTATTTTACAGTTTTGTCCCCTATGGGTCAAAGTACATGGAATACTTTGTCCCGTGTTTCTAAGTGTTTTCCAACTCTAGTTCTCAGTACTGACCTCCCCCTCTCCTCTCCTTCTATGGCTGATCCAACAACAGCTGAGAAGGAGATGGTTGATTCATAGCTCGATTTTGTTGAGTGTTGAGCACTTTCCTGAGACAAGCAACAGCAAGAGGAATGCAAAGGTTGGCACGTCGTCCGCCCCTGCATTCCTCTTGTCATTGCTTGTCTCGAGAAAGTGCTTACAGCTGAGACAAGCTGCTGGCTTCTCCTTCAGTCCTCATGTATTTATTTATTATTTATTTCTTTCAGGTACTTATATAGCGCCATCAATTTATGCAGCGCTTTACATATATATTGTACATTCACATCAGTCCCTAACCCTCAAGGGGCGTACAATCTAAAGTCCCTAACTCACATTCATACATACACATACTAGGGCCAATTTAGACAGGATTCAATTAACCTACCAGCATGTTTTTGGAGTGTGGGAGGAAACCGGAGTACCCGGAGGAAACCCACGCAGGCACGCAGGCAGGGAGAACATGCACACTCCAAAGATTTTACAGCTGCTGTTTTTGGCTTTTGACTTTTTTTCTACAGCCAGTAAACCCCCCAGCATGTTATCCTATGTGTCCATGCACACATAGACTGTAACCAACGTCTTTTGGCAGGGGCGTTTTTTGGCAGAACTAGTGGGTTTCTAGAGAAGTTTTTTAGCTGTGAAAACGCTCTAACTGAAAAACGCGGCAAAACGCAGTAAATTGCGACAACATAGCATTTTTAGACTTATTTTGCCCCCCCCCCAAAAAAATTTTCTGGTCAAAAAAACCTCTAAAAAACACAAACGCGGCAAACGCTGCCAATTGCTAATACAAAAAACGCTGAAAAACTCACGTTTTTAATGTGATTTTGCACAGCTAATGTTACCAGCGTTATTAAAACGCCCGTGTGCATGGCATAGCTGTTATTGAATTAGACACGTCAGGAGGGGACGGGGCAGGTTGGACCTCATGACTATTGGTAACACTTAAAAACATGGGATGATGTATTACATCTTCTTTGTCCCATGGTGACATAACTGTACAATAAAGAGTATAATGACTGATCTTCTTCCTGTTAACGCAACAGGAAGAGAGAGAAAATCTGTAGGTAAGTAAGGTAAATTCCCTTATCAGAACAGGTGTCCCTATTATAAGATTTTGCTGTACTCCTATTAAGGTGAGAACTCAAAATTTTGGATTTAGCCTCACTGTCACTCCCTGTGACAATTGCCAAAGGGTCCTAAACCCCTGCCCAAGCCTGAAAAAGAAAAAAAAACTAGTGCAGCTACCCATCTAATGATCGGTAAGTTGCAATATAATATATTTTTTTCTTTTCTTTTGATATTTCAGTTTTGTAAAATTGTTGGAGCAAATCTAAGCAGATTCACTATTAAATTAGTAACATCACTAACGAGGCTATATATGCAGTTTTAATACATGAAGGTAAATATAACATAAAATCATTTATATAATATGAAACCCATAACAAGTCAAGCACCCAAATGTATTTTTCTATCTGTATGATCCACTGTATGTCCAACAAATGTAGCAACCATTACTCAGAGGGGTAGATTTACTAAAAGTGGAGAGTGCAAAATATGGTGCAGCTGTGCTTGGTAGCCAATCAGCTTCTAACTTCAATCTGACCAATTAACCCATATGGAAGAAAAATATATTTGAAATATATTCTAAAAATATTCTGACATATATTTGAAATGCTACAATTTTGGCCATATTCAATATATTTCAATAAAATATATATATATATATATATATATATATATAAATATATATTTATATATATATATATATATATATATATATATATATATATATATATATATATATATATATATATATATATACTCTGCACGTTGAAATGCATTTTTATTACAAAATATATAAAAGATATTTTAAAAAATACATTTCAAATATACTGTATGTCTTTAAAAATACAATTCTACATTTTTGGAATACATTTACAAATATATGTAAAAATATATGTTAAAATGACTTTTTTATATCTTAAAAAAATCTGAAGAATGTATTTAAAAAAATATATATTTTTAAAAAAAATATTATTCATATATTTTGTAATATATAAAAAACACATTTCAACATGCAGTGTATATATATATATATATATATATATATATATATATATATATATATTTATTGAAATATATTTTGAAATAAATTAAATATGGGCAAAATTGTAGCATTTCAAATATATGTCAATATATTTAGGAAGAATATTTTTCAAATATATTTCAAAATATATTTTTCTTCCATATGGGAAGCTTTGACAAAGAAAACTGGGAGCTGGTTGGTTTCTATGCAGAGTGGCACCAGATTTTGCACTCTCCACTTTTAGTAAATCAACCCCATTGCTCCGAGTACACTGCTGAAATGTGGATTTTGATTGGCTGCTGCAGTTTACGTTACATCATTGCTCTTTGCCCCATATTATGACATAAGGGTCTACACGTAAAACAATTCTAAATCCCTGTTCTGTCTGCCCTTTGTTTTCAGTGGATTGTTTGTAGCACAGTGCTGGGGGTTAACGAAGTCTGAATCCCGGTGCACTGCTGTGAGAATTCCAGCCGGAGCTGCCAAGGACTCCAAGTTTGTCACTAATCTCATAATCTGGAGCTGACTTGGCAGGACATTCCTGGGGGATGAGGGGCTCCTTTATCACTCTGTATTAGTAGAACTTGCTATTTTTTCAGTCATACAGTTCTTTAAATGCTCCTAAATATCTTCGTTTTGCATATTTTACAATCTGTAAGAAAAACGTCTGACTTTTGGACACATGGGCCTTAATTAATCAAATTGCAATAACACTTAAGGCTTTAATTAATATTATCTCAAAGACCACGTTTTGTGGAGCATTAAGCACTGTTGTCAGTTTGATGAATCAGGGCCATAGTCAGAGGCGGACTGACAACTCATGAGGCCCCCGGGCAATAGGGGATCATGGGGCCCCTGTGTCCTTGCCCAAACTCAAAAAAGCCTATGAAAAAGGTACCAGGGGCATCTCATGGGGCCCCCTACTGACCCTTGGCCCTCGGGCAGTGCCCAAGTTTCCAAATGGTCAGTCCGCCCTTGGCCATAGTATATCTCTTGTGCACCAAACAAAATTGGGCAGAAGGGTCGATATGCAAAGTCAGAACTTTAAAGGAGAACAGTTGGGGAAAACAGCTGTTCAAACTGCCATTCCAATGGGGGCCCCATGGCAGTAACAACCAATGCAGCACACAGAAGGTACATTAGGGTTCTTTGACATGGGGTGGACCTGTTAGCAGATCTGCTTGCTTAGTGGGGTATCTCTACGCTGATCTCCACTGAGATAGCTGATGACAGCTCTGTGTCAGCTCCACTGCTGCAGAGCGGACACAGAGCAGCTCGTTTCTCCTCAGTGGACAGTCGGATGAAAAAGGACACCTGTCCATTTCCATCCGACCCGTTCTGATGGACGGAAGGGGAATTGGATCTCCATCCGTCCCTTTTTTTGCGGGTTGGATCGGATTGGATGTCGGCTGGTGTAAGCAGACACATGTCCGTTTACACCCGCAACTCCATAGAGGACAATGGAGGTTCCAATCAGGTTCGCCTGCAAAACGGGCAGACGGACCCAATCAAAACGTCCATTTGAAAGAGTCCTTAATATTTCCTATGGATTAATGTTGGAAAAGGAACAAGGAAGTTGTGATAATCGCTTGGAGGTTGACCCTGGTCCAACTATCTCAATTAATGCTGAAGCTGGATTTCTTGCAGTCCAATGATGACTTACTTGGACCCTTCTGATTACAGAAAGCTAGCTCCTGGTGGTGTTGAAACCTGTCTGCCTACTCTTGCCTTAAACACATTCCTACTAGGAAGTGAAGGAGCACATCATATTCATTGACCAATAAGAGTGCATGCTGTCACTTTATCTCTCATTTTTTTTTAAACAGTGTCACTGGCCAGTGATTGGGTAACTTACCAATGGGTCCAAACCTTGCTAAACAGTACTGTGGCCATATCGCTATGATAAATCCACCCTTTGATGATTATGTTTGATGAAAATTGTTATGTTCTGCCAGCCTGAGTGGATGTGTTTATGTCAATACCATTTAGAATATCCCTGTATAATGCATTAGCTAAGATGCCCATTCATGAGTTTGTTTTTTTTAATTATCGACAAACGAGGCTGATTCATGCAAACTCCAGGCAGGTGGTGCCGTGGCTGGGATTTGAACCAATGACCCTAGTACTGCCAGGCGGAAGTGCTAACCATTTAGCCAGTGTAGATGTATACATATTTTAAACTGTAATTCATTTTTCCTATAGGTACTCCTGGCAAAGCGTAAAAGTGACAGTAAGTTCTATGCAGTAAAGGTTCTGCAGAAGAAGACCATTTTGAAGAAGAAGGAGGTAGGACTGACTTCCTCTGGGCACATTTTGCTATGACATCCCATATAGGGAGCTATGTGTGGTTTGGCATCTAAGGTCGGTATTCATTTATAATGGTATTCTGTTTTTTTTTCCCAGCAATCTCACATTATGGCTGAAAGGAACGTCCTGCTTAAGAACCTGAAACATCCTTTCCTGGTGGGCCTGCACTATTCATTCCAAACTGCAGAAAAACTCTACTTTGTCCTAGACTACGTCAATGGAGGAGAGGTGAGGCCACCGGAATGTCACACCTCATTCCTGCATAGCTCACAAATGGTCCTTTTGTCAAAAGACAGGTCCTCTTGGAACTCCTCTGCCCCTCTGTCCCTCTGTCATACACAGTTGACCATCATGTGCATCTAGTTTGTAGATCTGTATAAGTAAATGTCTGTATTTTACAGCACTATTGTAACTCCTGATGTGAACCGGCACCTAGCTAACAGATTCCCCATCCATGTAAACAAGGTGGATGGTGGAACCCCCCCCGGCTGGGACATTGTATTATGACAGTGTTCACGTACTGTAATTTGTGCAACAACTACATTAGTATTCAGTAGTGATATCTTCTGCAGCCAGTAGATGGCAGTGTTTATAAGTTTGTAGCAGCATCATTGGTAAACTCTATGTCTTTTAGCTGAATAAAGCTTCCTGTTTCATAGTTGTAGTGAAGCAGAGAAGCACATGTGGACTGTGCACTGTCTGTTCTGTAGGACTATATACAGAGTCTCTAACAGGAGCTTCCAACATGATCAAAAGATTGATTGTTGTTGACTGGGGATGGCCACACACTTATTGAAAGTCGGCCTAATTTTGATCACTGTATAGCCAGCTTAAAACAGAACTTAATGTGGTTGTAAATCCTCATAAATACCCAGTGAAGTGACTGGCCTCAGGGGATAGACGGAGATGAAAAAAATCCTCCTACATAGGTTGTACCTGTTTATCTGCAGTCTTCTCTTATCTACATCCCTTTAAAGTGCTGAATTTTAAAGCGTGTCTGAGAGTTTAGAAAAAAGGGGATGTAGAGCTGAAGTTACACTCTTCAGAGCTCAGTGAGGAGAGCTCTGAGGGCTGATTGGAGGGAAGAGGCACACCCCTTCCACACAGCTCACAGGAACAGAGCTGAGGCTGTCAATCTGCTGGAGGTCCCTCCCCTGTCACCATTTTTCTCTTGGTGTCAGGAAAACTTGTCAGAAGTGATTCATGCTGATAGTAGAAGAATGAGACAGCAGACTGAAAAGACGCTTAGTGCTCTTAACTGAGACAAGTACACACTATAGAGGGATATGCTTTCTTCATACAGTATTTCATGTAAGAGGTTTACAAAAAATTTAAGGCACAAACATTCACCTATGCTTCAATGGTCCATCGCCAGCACCAGCATTTCCTCCCCAGGTTCTTCTGGGTGCCCGTGTTCGGCTATTTTAACTGGTCAGCATTTGATGACATCACTCCTGCGCATGACCGGCAGTGCAGTTATCCCGGTACACTCAGGGCTGTTGCTTCCACTAGGCACTGCCACCTAGGGGTGCCTGGGCGCAGCACAAGCCGGCACTCTATCTGTGTGGGACACCGCCACATCATGAATGATCTTTCAACTGAGAGGAGGAGGGGTGGCAGAGGGGAGGAAGAAAGGACAGAGGAAGATGCCGGATGTCTGGGGCCAATGTAGCAGCTGAGCTACAGCTCCTTCCAGTGTTCCTCTCAGACTTAGTCCTTTTCTGCAAGCTGGATGGCGGCTGCTGATCACTGTGGAATTCCAGCCCATCTCTACCAGCAGAGGCGGAGCTACACCTGCAGAGGAAGATAATGTCTGACTCTGATATCTTCCGTCTGTTCGAGTGTGTCCTGGCTGGCCATTCGTCATATGTGCAATGTGTCAGCGAGTGATGACATCATCACGATCCCAAAGCCTGCTCTTCTAGTGCCTGCTGAGCCTGCTGATCTGTGTCTGCTTGTGGTGGTGTGTTGTGTTGGATCTGTCACTGTGTGGGATCGCTCAGTTCAGCTGCCTGATGTCAAAGCGTTTTAGCTCCCTTCATTGCCTGGGGAATCCAGCCTGGGATCATCACCCTCCACTCATTGCAGCAACGGTCACCCTGCCACTTCCAGCCACAGATATAGTCCGGGACTCTGATTTTGTCTTTAATATTGGTGCTGGTGGCATCATATGGCACTTATTTTTGCAAATTAAAAGACATTTAGCAGTTTCTTGTTTTGTTGATTTAATATTTTCTACTGTTTTTAAAAAATGATTTTTTTTTTTTGGGGGGGGGGGGGGGGCGCAAATAGCTGGTCTTGCCTAGGGCGCAGCATAGTCTTGCACCGGCCCTGGTACACTGGTAGTATGCTGGAATGTCAACTGAGCTACGCATGCGCAGTTCAGCGTACATTCTACAGAGGATTACAAACAGGCATGTACGTCCATTTGGTAGCAGAAGAAACTTTGCATGTTTCTTCTGCAACAAAGAGGTTGCGGTTTGCAATTTTGAACATTTTGCCTTCATTTCCACTTTAATTAAGCCACCAGATCTAAGGACCGGTGAACTGCAATCTCTGACATTATTGTGCTCGGGTTTGGATATCGTCACTGGATATGGCCAGGCAAAAAAAAGGCCTACTGTTGTAACCATACAATAGCCCTATACAGACAGAGATCTCTCTATATATCATTCTGGAGAACACTGAGAAAATGGTCTGTAGCTCTCACTGACACCTCTAAGGAATGATTCAGCCTAGGTAAGCAGATCTCAGGGGCCACACACAGGTCATGTAGAAAGAACACTTTTCTTCTAGAATTCAGTCGATGTGCTCGATGTGCATGTTCTATATTCCTGATAGGTAAAGAGGCAGTGACACCATGGTGTTTTATATCCCTGGGCCTCGATCTCCCGTGCAGGGAACAGTAGGCCTGGTCAGCTTTGTCATCAGCCTCTTCCCCACATGTACACGGTACAGTCATTTGACTGTTTATAAACAAGGTGGATGCCGACTAAGATAGCAATGATTAATCTGCGTGTTCAGCAACTTGTCAAAGCCTGATAAATGTCCTGGGAATTTAATCCCGCTTATCGTGTACTTGTGTGATCTCTCTATGGCAGAGATGAATAGTATAGAGGCTGGCAGTGGTTTGGGCTGTCCTATACGTAGGACCATGTTAAAGCTGATAAAGGCAAATATTGTTTAACCCTTTTACATCACCGCCTCACGGCCCATTGGATCAAAATGGCAGGTGGCGGGCATTCCGATCATGTGACCGCTGTGATTGGCTGTCACAGCGGTCACATGATCAAAAACTCCCAATCACAACTCTGCATTGGGAGCTTTCCATGACAGTTTAGTTCAGGTCCGGATCTACGGGGGTGCTGGGGTGGGCTATGCCCCCCCCAGATTTTAGTTGTGCACCCCGAGACCTCTGAGAGTGCATTTACAACTCCATGAGACCTGATGGGGACAGTTGATGTAAGAGCAGGGGCGGACTGACAACTCATGGGGCCCCCGGGCAATAGGGGATCATGGGGCCCCTGTGTCCTTGCCCAAACTCAAAAAAGCCTATGAAAAAGGTACCAGGGGCATCTCATGGGGCACCCTACTGACCCCGGGCCCTCAGGCAGTGCCCACGTTTCCAAATGGTCAGTCCGTCCCTGTGTAAGAGGGCACTCTGAGGGGGGAAATTGATGTAAGGGGGCACTCTGATGTGGACACTTGATGTAAGGGGGCACTCTGATGGGGACAGTTGATGTGTAAGGGGGAACTCTGATGGGGACAGTTGATATAAGGGGGAACTCTGATGGGGACAGTTGATGTAAGGGGGCACTCTGATGGGGACAGTTGATGTAAGAGGGCACTCTAAGGGGGGCAAATGATGTAAGGGGGCACTCTGATGGGGCCAGTTGATGTAAGGGGGCACTCTGATGGGAACAGTTGATGTAAGGGGGCACTCTGATGGGGCCAGTTGATGTAAGGGGGCACTCTGATGGGGCCAGTTGATGTAAGGGGGCACTCTGATGGGGACAGTTGATGTAAGGGGGCACTCTGATGGGCACAGTTGATGTAATGGGGCACTATGATGGGGACAGTTGATGTAAGAGGGCACTCTGATGGGGACAGTTGATGTAGGGGGGCACTCTGATGGGGCCAGTTGATGTAAGGGGGCACTCTGATGGGGACAGTTGATGTAAGGGGGCACTCTGATGGGCACAGTTGATGTAATGGGGCACTATGATGGGGACAGTTGATGTAAGAGGGCACTCTGATGGGGACAGTTGATGTAAAGGGCACTCTGGTGAGGACACCTGATGTAAAAAGAGACTGTTATAGGAACTTTGATGTAAGAAGAAACTCTGAGAAGAACTCCTGATATAAGGATGGACTCTGTTAGGGACACCTGATATAAGGGGGCACAGGTTCTGTTTAATCACCCTAATCTAATGGCAGCATTCCCAGTTCACTCCAGCACAGGGGCGGACTGACAACTCATGGGGCCCCCGGGCAATAGGGGATCATGGGGCCCTTGTGTCCTTGCCCAAACTCAAAAAAGCCTATGAAAAAGGTACCAGGGGCATCTCATGGGGCCCCCTAGTGACCCCGGGCCCTCGGGCAGTGCCCAAGTTTCCAAATGGTCAGTCCGCCCCTGCTCCAGCACCACATCTGCGCTACTTGTAAGATGTTACTTCCAGATTATGACTCCGTGGTACAAAAGTGTGCCGAGTGAACAGGGAATACTGGTTTCATGCATCCCTGTTACACTACTGGCATTATGCCCCCTGTATTTTTTTTTCTGCATCCCCAGATTAGACAGGCTGGATCTGGCCCTGGTTTAGTTACTAAATAAATTAATCAATTAAAGGTGATGTAGCGCTGCTAATGCACATAAATCAGTAAACAATACAGGTGGATAAACTGTGTTCATAATCATAATGTGAATAAATGACCAAGAACATAGACCATTAATATAAATTAATGAATAATGTGAATAAAGATACTTTCAATAAATGAGTTCATAAATTTCCAAATATCACAAGATCCGACAACTACAATTCCATGGTGAATATGAATTTTGATGCTAATAACAGTGCCACTCCGTGCTCACAGAACTCTGTGAGCTGTATAATAATAATAAATACTGTATAATAATAATAACTCTCACCTCCAACGCAGGTAAAAACTGCGTGTTAATAATATGACATCTCCACACATCCAGACTTCGCAATATCTCCTTAGTCCGTTCCTCCTCCCATATAATGGATACTTTTAAGATGGTAAAAAAATCCTCCATCTCAGCGGATACCAGTCAGCTCCAATGCATGTAACACTTGCAAGTATTTATTAAGACATCTCCATAAATCCAGACTTCGCAATATATTTTTAAGCCACTAGAGGGCTATCCACCCTTCCTCCCAGATAATGGATAATAATAGGTATTAATAGAAATCCTCCCTTCCATCGAATGCCAGTACCTCACCCAAATGAAAGAATGCCTCATATAGTGTAGTAAGTCAGAAAAAAAAACAATATTTATTAAAATCACACTTACGATGTATATTACAAAGACAAGCCCTTTAAAACAACCATGGATCCTCTCGCTTCCTCAAAACTGCCTCAGCCCACGCCCTACGCGTTACATCACCATTACGTGACTTCATCAGGGAGTTTAGTTACTGTGTTGGGAGCGCGCTCTCAGCACAGTTAACTGTTTACATATAATGCCATTCTACTAGCGGTTAGCCGACATCTAGTTTACAAAACTAACATAAGCAGCATTGTTTTTTATTCCAAAACTGAATTTACTTCTGTGAATAGTTCTGTAAAACTGCAATACAATCACATAAACGGAAGATACAATATGTTTGTACACATGTCTATCACAAATGAATACAGAGAACACATTTCTTGCAAACAGCTACCTACAAATCACATGAATACATTAAAGTGTTACTAAACCCACGACAGTAAAATCAGTCTCCATATGCAGTAAAGCATGCTTGTTATACTCACTGTGGTACCTAAGGGGTTAATCCTCTGTAAAAAGGATGTTTGATTCTGTCTTCTCTGATCCTCCCCTTTTTCTACTGTCCCCAATCCATCTGCTGATAGAACAGAGCCTTGGGGCAAGCTGCACATGCTAAATTCGGTGTGTATTGCTAGAGAGTTTTTTTTTTCTTCTTGAGAGAGTGCATGTGATCAGCACAGGACCAATTAGCACTGTCCAGACAGAGGGTCAGGGGTTATGCAGCCTCATAGGACAATCGGGGGAGAATGAAAACTCCTCTTCCTTCTAGCTTTAGTCAGTGCTCAGCTGATAGAAGTCACAAAACTGTTCTAACTGCTGATGAGAAAAGGTATTTAGCAGTTTATTTTTACTAAAATAATTGCATTTCCATGTTCTGTGTACTGTGGGAGACCAGATATAGTGAATGCACGGTCCTGGGTTGAGTAACATTTTAAATGTGATCTGGCTATGTATATGACTTTGACAAACGCAATAAAGAACTTACAGGCATATGTGTAGGTAGGAGAATGGAGGTCTTCACTGTTGTTCTTCAGGAGGCTTTGCAGTGGCAGATGGGAAATCTTTATTTTAACAAACAGACACACTTCCTGTTCTTTACTAATAAGGGTACAGTTGTAGTGAAAGCCCAATAGATGGTTCCCTACTCAACACAATTATGATATACAATATACAGAACACATATTGACGCATATACAGTATGCAGCCACTTGACGTTGAATCCCACCCGCCAAGAGGCTGTATATATGCGTTCAGACAGAAGGAAGTGCCTAAATACAAGAGGCACCTGTGTTCTTACTGAAATCTTGGTGTGCTTTGTGTTTTTCTTCCAAATCTGAGCAGTAATCCAGTATAAAACGTTACCTCTGCAAAGGAGCTTCCTGTGATAAAGACTGGTCACTGCTGCTCTCTCTCCTTGTGCATGGGAACTGGTCTTGTCTCCGCCCCTTCTGTAGTTTTCTGTAGGCAGTCTGTAGTGGGTGGAGCCTACTGGGCCCCTCCCACAGCTCTGCTCAGGTTATGTTATGACAATTGAGCAATCTGTAGGTTTTTGTACTGGGAGTTCAGCTTTAAAGGAAAATACTCATCTTTCCTTCTATGAATGCTGGATGCCTGCATGTCCATAGGTGGCTATTGGAATCACAGCCAGGTTGCTTCCCTTTATGTTTTTCTACTGTGATCCCCTTGGGTCCCTTTATAAATAACAGTATACATGCCTCAATGAGGGTAGATTGCAAACGACTGTCATGTTTACTATATTGTTTGCTCTTGGTGCTTTGTTGTGCCTTCATTGGCTGTATTCTTGTTCTGGGTCAGTGATTCAGAAAATGATGAAGCCACAGACAGCCAGGCACATGGAATTGTCAGAGGAAGGTCAGCAATGGTAGCCTTCATATTTTACTTGTGACAGGTTTCCTTTAAAGTGGTTGTAAACCTCAGACATTAAATATGAACAAAGCATTTCCCTCTATAGTGTGTACTTGTATGAATCCAGAACACTATGGGGTTTATTTACTAAAGCTGGAGAGTCCAAAATCAGACTCCCTTCTGCATAGAAATCAATCAGCTTCTAACCTCAGCTTGTTCAATGAAGCTTTGGCAATGAAACCTGGAAGCTGATTGGTTTCTATGCAGAAGGGAGTCTGATTTTGGACTCTCCAGCTTTAGTAAATAAACCCCTATGTGTCATTTCTGTCTGCTGCCACCTTCCTCTGCTATATGTATTAGTCTCTTCTGACAAGTATTCCTTAAACACCAAGAGAAAAAAGGTGATAGTGAGAGAGCTCCAGCGCACACCCTGTGATTGACAGCCACATCTCTGTCCCTGTGTGCTGAGTGAAGGGGTTGAGGGAGGGGGGTATGTCCCTTCCTTCCAATCAGGTCCCCTCACTGAGTTCTGCAGAGTGTAATTTCAGCTCCCCGCCCCCCTGCTTTCTGAACCAGCAGACAAGCTGTATAAATTCTGCATTTTAAACAGCTGTAGAGAAGAGAATACTGCTGATAAACAGGTACAACTTATGTAGGAGGATTTATTTTATTGATGTATATCACCTGAGGCCTGTAATTTCACTGAGTTTATGTAAAGGTTTACAACCACTTTAACTAATAATTTCATTTGTCAGTTCTCTACTTTTGCTCTAAGTTTTTTATATCAGCATGAATCAGTTATGACAAGTTTTCCTGGCACCAAGAGAACAATGGTGACAGGGGAGGGACCTGCAGCAGATTGACAGCCTTAGGCTGGCCATACATTATACAATTTTCTTGAGAATTTTGCTTTAGATTTACCAAAAACCATATAATATGAGGTCAAATCTAAACAACACTTTCAACTGTATCCAATTAGGTAGGCCCTTGCACTACATAGTTGAAGGTAAATCTAAAGGAAATTGGGCAGAAAATTGTATAGTGTATGGCCAGCCTTAGCTTTGTTCCTGTGTGCTGTGTGGAAGGGGGTGTGTCTCTTCCCTCCAATCAACTCTCAGAGCTCTCCTCACTGAGCTCTGTAGAGTGTAACTTCAGCTCTCCACCCCCTTTTTTCTGAACTCTCTGACAAGCTTTAAAATTCAGCACTTTAAATGGAGACTGTAGATAAGAGAAGACTGTAGATAGACAGATACAACTTATGTAGGAGGATTTATTTTTTTCTGTGTATCAACTGAGGCCAGTCACTTCACTGGGTTTATGTAAACACGCACAGCCACTTTAACTAATAATTTCATTTTTTGTCAGTTCTTCTACTTTTTTTCTAAGTCGAAGTTTTTTCAGCAAACATTGTCTTGGTGTTTATTCTCCCTTTATAGCTTTTCTTCCACTTACAAAGAGAGCGTTCCTTCCTGGAACCCCGGGCCCGCTTCTATTCTGCAGAGGTGGCTAGTGCTATTGGCTACTTGCACTCTCAAAATATCATTTACAGGTAAGAGTTACTGTACATTTCATGTGATCATCAAGTATATTTCCATAAATCCTTGTCTGTACTAAAGTTATAAAATATTTTATTTAAAGCTGGACTGCAGACAAACAGGAAAATTCACAGATGAAATACATATATGGTAGCTGTATTTGTATTTCTGCCCATCTAATACTGAATTCCATTTTCCTGCACAAAAGCCTGACCATTCTGGTGACTTGACTTCTTGCAGTTAAAGTGCATTTCCACCCAAAAGTGGAAGCTCCGCTTTTCTGCCTCCTCTCCCCCTCTGCCACCACACTTTGCACCTTTTGGGTGGATGGGAGAGTGGGTACCTGGTTTTGACAGGTACCTGCAGGGCTGCTGTTAGAAACCACAGGGACCCATACAGCCAACCTGACAGGGTCCCCCCCCCCAAAAAAAAAATCCCTGCAGTTTACGATGCTTCAGTTATGAGTGAACACAGTGATTGATTGGTACAGATCACTCATTGTGTTCATTCAGGAAAGAAAGGGGCTTGTAAATATGAGATTTTCCAGGCCCCTCCCCTGCTCTCCATCCTGAAGGATCCTATTGTGTGCTTGCAACTGCCATTGGGAAGGAGCAGAGGGAAGCCAATAGCACTGTGGGGGCACACAGGGGAAACGTATGAAGGGTGATGAGTGTGGCGGGGGGTCAATGACTGGAACCGATCCCCTTTTTTTGACTCTCTCTGCAGCAGCTGAAAGCCCCAGCAGGGAGGGAGAGGAGAAGAAGCCAGCTTTCAACTGGCATACAGGGGATTGGTCCCAGTGACAATCACCCTCCCTGCAGTGGTGTATTTAGGTGTTGTGCTGACCTAGGCAACACAAAAATTGCACCCCCCCCCTCGCAGAGATAGCCTGACATTGACCAACAACACCCCTGCCCCCACCCCAAGAGAGCCTTCCACTACTACTGCGCCCCATACACCAGCCACCATCCGCCACGGCGAGACAGAGAAAGACACTCGCCTTCACAGCTCCGGATATCTATGGGAACATGAATGGGGTAGTGCATACACCGTCATGAGACCTGCAATCTCTCATGGAAACCACTAGGTCCCCATGCTGCGTGTGTCCCTTCTTCCGTCCCCTCTTCCGAGGGGAAGTGCTGCCCCCCCCCCCCCCCTGAAAAATGCCACCCTAGGCAAATGCCTTGTTTGCCTTGTGGTAAATACACTCCTGCCTTCCTGCCCATATCCAAGTCACCCAGCTGCCTGGGCCCTCCTGCTGGCTTGGGCCCCGTACAGGAGGACTAGTGGTACCCTCTTAACCATACTCCTGGGTACCTGCTCCCACTTCCAGCTCAGTTCGCCATGGCAAACTGAGCCAAAAGTTTGCCCCCCCCCCCCCTCCATAGCCCTCTGGGACACTTCCAAGGTCCTAGAGGACTGTAGCCCAGTCACAAAGCACAGCTTTCTGCATGCATGCACAGTAGGGAACAGTTTCCCTTAGTCAAGATGGTGGTGCCAGCACCCAACAGCCGATTGAAGAAGCGGCTCAGGGTAAGAACACCGCTGGATGCATAGACAGGCAAGTGCTCTAATATTAAAAAATAGCAGCTACACTAATTGTAGCTACTGACCTTTGATTTATTTTTTGGGGGAGGTGGTGGGGGCCACCTCCCCAAAAAACTCCAATATAAGTAACATTCACAGGTCTCGTCCCTCCCCAAGACTGTGACTGGACAGTGAAAGAGAAGCAGAAGACTGATGAACTCATCTCTCTGTTACTCTGATCTCTGCTTCTATCAGCATGTTCCTTGCTAGCATATAAGCACTGCATCCGAACTGTTAGGCTGCTTTTGCTGCTTTTACCTCTACCAGTCTGAGCTCTGCTGAACAGGGATTTGCTAATACCAAGTCAAATTTAGGTATTCATAATAATTGCTAAAAAATAATGATTTCATGAACCCTTAAGGAACACATAGCTGCATCCATTCATTTTTTTGTGCCTGGAGTTGTTTTAAATTACTATAACTATTTACAAGGTAAGGAAGAAATATAATTTCTGCCCTTTTTTGTTTCTGACTTTGACCCCATTAAGGAGATTTTCCTCACTTCCTGCCCCTGTGAAACCAGAAAAGAAATTTGGGGACAACCATAAAATCAGATTTAGCTCCCTATTATGTTTGTGCTTTCATTCAATGTCAGTGTGCTATCTCTCGTTAATGATCTACTGATTGTGCGCTTGGAAACAAGTCAAGTGGTGACCCATCCCAAACAGGATGACAGCCCAGCATGGGTCCCAGCCCATACTTTAACCATCTGTGTTACCCCTTCATTACAAGGCCATTTTTCAGCTTTCATTGCTGTGATACTGTGACTGACAATCACTCGGTCATGCAACACTGTACCCAAATAAATTTTTAAATTTTAATTTTTTTTTTATTTTTGACAGATGGGGCTTTGTTTTTGTGTTATTTAAAAAAACAAGGCTTTTTTTTAATAATATAAAAAAAAACCCTTTCTTTTAAGATAAAAACGTTAGGACAGTATGAACACCCAAAAATTACACCACATGGTAATCTCATTTTTGGCCACAATGTTTTTTGGAAATTAGGAAAAATGCTGGTATTGAGGGGGTTAAAAAGTGGAGCATGGTAATGGTGCTCTAGATCAGGGGCGGACTGACCATTTGGAAACTCGGGCACTGCCCGAGGGCCCAGGGTCAGTAGAGGGCCCCATGAGATGCCCCTGGTACCTTTTTCATAGGCTTTTTTGAGTTTGGGCAAGGACACAGGGGCCCCATGATCCCCTTTTGCCCGGGAGCCCCATGACTTGTCAGTCCACCCCTGCTCTAGATACAGCCCATTCCCATACAGGTCATACACAGAGGCAGGAGGAGGTAAAGGGGGTCATTCATTAGTTCCTACCCCCCTCCCCCCCCTTTCATTGTAAAGTATGGAGGAGATTTGCTAATACTGGTGCACTCAGAATCTGGTGTGCCTAGTAACCAATCAGCTTCTAGCCTCATCTTCTTCAATTAAGCTTTGACAATAAAACCTGGAAGCTGATTGGTTACTAGGCACAGCTGCACCAGATTCTGTGTGCACCAGTTTTAGTAAATCCCCTCCATACTGTTTACAGTATGTGATTGCTGTGATTAGTCTATCAATAACCAATCACAGTGATCTGAAGGTACAGAGCCATTCAGGTCAGCTCTGTACATAGGATGGTTCTCTTACAGATATTAACGAGTGCAGTGCAATTTAAAAAGGGCACTGGGTATATAAACATCCACCACTTCACCATTTAATGATGTACAGTCATAGTTAAAATGATACTAAACTCTGATTTCGAAAGAATGTATGTATTGTAAAAGCAGTTTTAAACATTTATTTTATTGTAGCTTACCAATTCTTAGATGTGGTGGCTGCTTTATTTTCACCTAGTGATCCTGCCAGTAAGTCTATTGTTTTTCATCAGAACAAACTGTCCTGAAGATGTTGCAGTTAAAGGGTTGAAACAAACCATTTACCACTGACAAGGGTGCTTACAATGATCAGCTTTTATTTATGTAAAACCTTTATCTCAAAGGGAACAAAACTGTTGCTGTAACTGCTTATAATGCCTGAGCTGGAGTTTGGCTTCAATTGTTAATATATTTATATCTTCTAGTCCATCTAACACTCCCCTCCCCCCAGACTGCCAATGCTGCTGTCTAAAGGTGTCTGTGCTCCTTTATCCAGAGTAGGGGCATTCTAAGGCTCAATGCACATGGGGCGTTTTAATAATGCTGGTAGATTTAGCTGTGTAAAGTCATGAGTCTTTCAGCGTTTTTTTTAGCGTTTTTGCATTAGCGTTTTTCCGCGTTAGAGGTTTTTAGCATTTTTTTAGATTTTTTTTACCAAAAAGAATAGATTTTTTCTCCAAAAAAAGTCCAAAAACGTGGATTTGCTGCATTTTACTGTGTTTTGCCGCATTCAGCTACCCGCTCCCACTTCCACTGCGATCGCCTAGCCCTAGACGATCAGAAGTGGAAGTTGTCCTCCCTCCCCGTAGTCTTCTGGGACACGTGACAGGTCCCAGAAAACTACGGGGCCATTCACAAAGCGCAGCACTTCTCACGCATGCGCAGTGGGTACTCGTCTGTGAAGCCGCAAGCTGTCACAGCCGGGTGCCCACACTGAAGATGCCAGCACTGGGGGGAGAGAAGACAGCCACTGAAACCAGCGGTGGTGAGAACACTGCTGGACCGAGGGACAGGTAAGTGGCTGTATTTTAAAAGTAAGCAGCTACAGTTTTTGTAGCTGCTGACTTTTTTTTTTTTTTTTTCAGCTGGAACTCCGCTTTAAAGTAAAAAAAAAAACATTTAGTCGTTCGAACCCTGCTAAATTATATTTCTGGTTGTAAAGATTTCCCCTCACTCCTGGTCCCAGGAACAGCACAGGGTGTGATGGGAAATTTTCCTAGCAAGGATACATTTGTTTAGAATTTGTTTATTGACCGGATTTGTTCCTTGAATGCTAAAGGCTTTTATCACATTGGAAACTAAAGACCTAAAGTAAATGTACATAATGGAAATCTATCTGTAATTTCACACACAGATTATTTCTGCTCAGTTGTAATGTAAATCAGTATACAAACAAATATTGACTCAATTCATAATTAAAAAAAAAATAATAAAGTATAATTCATACATTAATTCTGGTTTCATTATTTCATTACTAATCTACTTTTAACATTTGGATTTTTCGTTCGTGTTTACGAAGATTCCTTGAACATAAACATCCGGGTCATCTTCTGTTTCCGCTCATGCGTCATAGCGCTTGATAGATTTTTTTTGTACGACTGTCATACCACCACATAGAAAATCGGTTGTTCGTATGCAAAACAACATTTTTCACTGTTGTTCAACCGGATTTTTTCGTTCACAATATCGTTATCGGTTAAAACATCCTGCTCATCAACGAAGAGAAAATCGTTCGATCATTGGTTCCGCAAAAGTTTTCGTACGATTTTCTTATTGTGTGTACGGGGCATTCGTTTTGCACTGAGAGAAGGAACAGCAAAATACAACCATTGTGTAGCACTACAAAGGAAGTAAAGCAAATATGACCATCTCCATTTATGTATATGATTTTAAAATATACATAGAAACAAGATTTTTGCAACATTGACACAAATTTATGAGATTCCATCTAACTGATCTCATTGAAATAATGATCTTAAAAGTCTGAACCTAGGGTCTGTGTAGATGGGATTTTGTTCACGTCAGATGGGGTTACATCTCCATTTTGGAAGACAAAACCTGCTTGAAATCACTTATTGTAAGCTGCACTGAAGAATATTTTCCTTCCTAGCTACTTGAAGTAACTACCTGTTGTCCTGCCCCCCATATAATGGAGAAGAAGCAATCTGGATATGTTTGTAGTTAGTATTAGGAGAGCAGTCTAGGTTGACAACCATGGCTCCCTCCAAAGAGACAGTGGAGGAGTACTGTAGCTATCCAGAGACAAGTATGAGTGTTATTGGAAGGATTACCAGGTGAAAATAAAGCAAAAGAAGATTGGAAAAAAAACATTGCAGCACCATCACACCAAGGAACAGTAGGCTGAAATTAATAGGCGTGTGCAAAGGGTGTGCTGGATATGCCTGGGCACGCCCTAATCACCCCGTGTGTATTAGTGGGGAGATGGAGAAGATCTCTCTTTGACCGGCTGTACCATAAGAGTTGTTCCGCACTCCTCTTTTACTGTGTCAGCAGGTACATCAATATGCTGGAACATGTACAGCAGGGAAAATAATTATTTGATCCCCTGCAGATTTTGTAAGTTTGCCCACTTACAAAGAAATGAAGGGTCTATAATTTTTTTCATAGGCGTATTTTAAATGATAGAGACAGAATATCAACCAAAAATCCAGAAAAAACAATGAATGCAAATGTTATCAATTGAGTTGCAGTTCAGTGAGTAAAATAAGTATTTGATCCCCTACCAACCAACAATAATTCTGGCTCCCAGAGACTGGCTATGTGCTCATGTGGTACACAGATTAGTCCTGTCAATTTAAGAAGGTGCTCCTAACGAAAACTCATTATGTGTATAAAGGACACCCGTCCACATAATCTCTTTCTTACATTCAAATCTCACCACCATGGGCAGGACCAAAGAGCAGTCAAAGGACATCAGGGACAAGATTGTAGACCTGCACAAGGCTGGAATGGGCTACAAGACCATCAGCAAGAAGCTTGGTGTGAGAACAAGGTGAGACAACTGTTGAAGTGATTATTTGCACATGGAACAAATACAAAATAGCCATCAGTCGCCCTTGGTCTGGAGCTCCATGCAAGATTTCACCTCATGGGATAAGGATGATAATGAGAAAAGTGAGAGATCAGCCCAAAACTACGCAGAAGGAGCTTGTGAATGATCTCAAAGCAGTTGGAACCACAGTCCCCAAACAAACCATTGGTAACACAATACACCGCCATGGATTGAAATCCTGCAGTTCCCGCAAGGTCCCCCTCCTCAAGAAAGCACATGTACAGACCTGTCTAAAGTTTGCCAATGAACATCTAAATGATTGAGAGAAGGACTGGGAGAAAGTGCTGTGGTCAGATGAGACCAAAATTGTACTCTTTGGCATTAAGTCAACCTGCCGTGTTTGAAAGAAGAAAAATGCTGACTATGACCCTAAGAACACCATCCCTACAGTCAAGCATGGAGGTGGAAACATTATGCTTTGGGGCTGTTTCTCTGCTATGGTACAGGCTGACTTTGCCACATTGATGAGGCCAATGGACGGGGCCATGTATTGTAAAATCTTGGATGAGAACCTTCTTCCTTCAGGCAGAACACTGAAAATGGGTCATGGATTGACCTTCCAGCATGGCAATGACCCAAACTAAACTGCCAAAGCAACAAAGGAGTGGCTCAAGAAGAAGCACATTAAGGTCATGGAGTGGCCTAGCCAGTCCGCAGACCTTAATCCTATAGAAAATGTATGGAAGGAGCTGAAACTTCGAGTTGTCAAGCGACAGTCAAGAAACCTTAAGGATTTAGAGAAGATCTGTAAAGAAGAGTGAACCAAAATCCCACCTGAGATGTGTCTAAACCTGGTAAAAAACTACAAGAAACTAAGGGTTTCTCTACCAAGTACTAAGTCATGTTTTGCTTGAGGATCAAATACTTATTTTACTCACTGAACTGCAACTCAATTTATAAGTTGGGCCATTTATATTTGCATTCATTGTATTTTTTGGATTTTCAGTTGATATTCTGTCTCCAAAATTGAAAATACACATATGACAAAAATTATAGACCCTTCATTTCTTAGTAAGTGGGCAAACCTATAAAATCTGCAGGGAATTAAATAATTTTATATATATATATGTTTCAGCTTTGGCGTGCACACTCTAATGCTATAGGCTGCACACACCTATGGCAGCAATATATTATATTTTTGGTTTGGGGTTCAATGGTTACGTTTGAACATAAATATAATTGACCATTTGTGCTTTAATTACTGTTACTAAAAAGATTACTGAGTCAAATATAGGCCATACTATTTGTTTTAAAGACACAATAAACTTAATAGCAGAAGCTGCCTGTTTCCCACATTGATGCTTACTATTTATCTTGCTTTTTTTAGAGACTTAAAGCCTGAAAACATTCTCCTTGACAGCCAGGTAAGAAAAAGGAAAAAATACAGAAATTGTGAATTTATGAATCGGCTACCAGGGATCATTAAAACAACACCATCATCAAAAGATACAAAGAAAAAGCTCCATGAAAAAGGAGAATTATACTCACCTCCTTGGTGGGCATTGACTCCTATCTTCTCTCTTTTCAAGAGTTACAGTGGCTTATGAATCTTCAGCATCCGATAGACTTTCAGGCAGGTTGGATGCTTGGTTTCCCTAGGTCAAGGGTGTGGCATCAATTAGGCAAAGTGAGGATTGTCTTTGTACTACCTATTCATGGGCGCTTGCAGAATCACTGCTTACAGGCAGCAAGGTACCATGGGATATGTAGTAGTTCAGTCTGCCAGCTCTCATTACTTTGTCCAGTAGTGATACAGCAGGCAACTATAGCATGCAACAGGGACCAGGTCATCCAACACTCCAGGAAGTGTCAGATTTTGAAGATTGTTCAGGCAACTGCTATTCATTACAGCTGAGATGTACAGCCATCTGAAGGGAGGGTATTAAAGTGTTACTAAACCCCCAGTAAAATCAGTCTGTATATGCAGTAAAGCATGCTTGTTATACTCACTAAGGGGTCAATCCTCTGTATTGTGTAAAAATGCCTGACTTCTCTGATCCTCCCCTTCTTCCAGTGTCCCTGATAAGACACATCGTGTGGACTCACTCTGTACATGCTCAGTTTGCTGTCTATTGCCAGAGAGGTTTTTTTTTTCTTGGGAGAGTGCATGTGATCAGCACAGGGCCAATTAGCACTGTCCAGACCGAGGTCAGGCGTGCTGCATTCTCCTAGAGCAGTGGTTCTTAACCTTTTTGGAGGTACTGAACCCCACCAGTTTCATATGCGCATTCACCGAACCCTTCTTAATTGGAAAAATAAAATATGATTTTTAAAATTCAAAACATAGGTATATATTTATACATAGGTGCACAAAATGAACAAAACCATTAAGAACAAAGAACAAAACCATTAAAACATGATTTTCATACAAAAACAAAATAATGAATATTTACCGCAAATCAGTGTGACTTCTGCTGTTGTCTTTCAGAGGCCAGTTCAGAAATGCGCGGCATTACCTTGGCAAGTGCCACTCTCATGTCATTTTCGCAACAAAGTCTGTTCCTTTTCTTCGTCTTTATGTCCAGCATCCTCGAAAAGGATTGCTCGCAAAGATATGTTGTAACAAACGGTATGAAAATTCATCCCCCATAGTAATTCATCCCCCATATAGTAATTCATCCCCCATATAGTAATTCATCCCCCATATTAAGTCATCCCTCATATAGTAGTAGCAAGTAGTAAGCCAAGTCCCCCCTGTGTCAATTCACTTACCTTTGCTCCGCGCGTTCCTCTCGCCGTATTCCCGCGCCGTTCCGGTCTTCAGGGCGGACTGTGAGAGGAGCCTAGCTCTTCTCACGTTCGTCACGCTGCCCCGCCTACACACATCCTGACAGCCAATTACTGGCTATCAGGATGTGAGTGGCAGCGAGACTGGCCAATCATTGCATTTGAGCGCACTGCCCTGGCTGTTTTTTTTTTTTGGATCACGCTGCAGAGTCCCTGCCGCCCGAGAGGAGGGAGGGGAGCGGGCGCCCGGCACACAAGAGCCGCATTAAAGCGTGTAAAGAGCCGCGGCTTGCCGACCACTGGGCTAAGCGATGTTGCGTGACCACCTGCAGCCAATGATGGACAAGCGGGGCATGTCATCACGAATCATATGAGTCGGGTGTGGGTCTTCACCTCCGCCGAACCCGCGAGACTGACTCACCGAACCCCTGGGGTTCGATCGAACCCAGGTTAAGAACCACTGTCCTAGAGCAAACATAAAACTCCTCCTACAAGCATTAACCAGTGCTCGGCTGGACACTGATAGAAGTCACAAGACTGCTCTAATTGCTGATGGGAAAAGGTATTTACAGTTTTATATTTACTAAAATAATTGCATTTCCATGTTGTGTGTAATGTGGGAGACCAGATATAGTGAATGCAGGGTCCGGGGTTTAGTAACACTTTAACTGTCTTCTTTGCAAGGAGGACTTTTTTTTGTGGGAAGGAGGACTTTATTTACATATTTGTTTTAGCTAAAGAGTTCCTTTAACAGCAAAAATAAACTGAATGTTATCTCCTGCTTAATTTTAGGGTCATGTTGTTCTGACTGATTTTGGTCTCTGCAAAGAGGGGATGGAGCCAGAAGAGACCACATGTACCTTCTGTGGGACTCCTGAGGTATACAGAACATCTAAAACCTACACAGAGAGCTAGATCTAAAATCTAAAGTGACACTAAACAATATCCTTATTCTCCAAATACAATTCGTACACATCCACTACTTAATGGCCCTGTAAACTATTTTTCATGAAATTGTTTCTTACTGTGTTTTTTTTGCCTTCATTTCATGTCTTCTGTGAGCCTCCGAACTTCTCCTTTTCCCCCTCACTTCTGTTTTTTTTGGAATGAGCAGTGCACGTTAGTTGCGGTAATGTACACTGCTCTATGCACAATACAAATCCCATAGCCTATAGCCCTAGCAGGGGCGGACTGACAACTCATGGGGCCCCTGGGCAATAGGGGATCATGGGGCCCCTGTGTCCTTGCCCAAACTCAAAAAAGCCTATGAAAAAGGTACCAGGGGCATCTCATGGGGCCCCCTACTGACCCCAGGCCCTCGGGCAGTGCCCAAGTTTCCAAATGGTCAGTCCGTCCCTGGTCCCTAGTCGACCTTGATAGTAAGCGCGAGAGGGTGGCTACATTCCTACATACAGTGGAACCATGGAAAATTATTGTAGTCACCCTCTAACAGGAAGTCAGATTACAGAAGCAACCAAAAGAAATGTAAGGATTTGGAGGAGACTGAGAGCAATAGAAGGGATTTTTTGGGTTAATAATACATACAGTACTTGAATAGAATTTTCTTTTCATAAAATAGAGTTTAGTGTCACTTTAACCCACTTTAACTTTAACGTTTTTTTTTGTGCCTGTGTATTTATTTATGTGGAAATCTTCTATCTGTAAAAAATAGGACAAAGGAAAACTGTTTCTCCATCATCCTGTATTATGAGAGCAGAGGTAACATTGCTTTGCCATTATAGTACCAGTGGCCCAACTTATGAAAACTGAATCTGCTGCCCAAACTGACCAACAAGAATGTTCTCCTCATTTCAAAGATAAAGCCTGACTGGTTGACAGAAATAAAAATGGAACCAATTCCCCCATCCACACATTTGCAGTTGATGGAGGAATCCTACCTGCTGCTCTATTGTATTCTGACAGCTGGGAATTTCCCCCGCTGTCAGAATACACAGATCAGTGCTGCAGCAGCTGATCGAGTGGATTTTTATCCGACAGGGTGGTTGAACAAACGTCAAACAATAGATTCAGGGGTTGTTGATGCAGTGCGTCCCAGATCAAGACAGCGAAGCATACACTGTGTACAATGACTCGATGTTAAGGCCCACCTACCTTCCTCTGCATATATGCATATATAGCTGTCATAAAGGGGTTAAAAAGAATTGTTATTGTCTAACATTTACTTTAAAGCCTGACTCTGGGCAAACTGCAAGGATTAATAGCTTGTTTTGTATAATGGAGAGGAAAAACAGCTTTACTTATCTGCAGGGTAGTTGTTTGAAACCACGGGGCCACATACAGCCAACCTGACGCCCCCCCTCCAAATAACCCCCCCACAGTTTACTATGCTTCAGTTATGAATGAGCACAGTAAGCGATCGGTACCAATCACTGTGTTCATTCAGGAAAGGAAGGGGCTGGTAAATTTGATATATTTACCAGACCCTTCCCCTGCTCTCCATCCTCAAGGATCCTATTGTGTGCTTGCAACTGCCATTAGGAAGGAGAGGAGGGAAGCCGACAGCACTGCGGGGGTGGGGGGCACACAGGGGGAAACATTTTGAAGTTGATGGGTGTGGCGGGGGGAAATAACTGGGACCGATCCTCTTTATGACTCTCTACAGCAGCTGGAAGCCAGGATGGAGCGAAGATGCCATCTTTCAACTGCCATACAGGAGATTGGTTCCAGTAATTGCCCCCCCCCCCCGCTGTGCCAATCACCCTCCCTGCCCACATTCGATTCACCCAGCTGCCTGGGCCCCCTGCTGGCCTGGGCCCCGTACAGGAGGACTGGTGGTACCCCCTTATCCATCCCTGCTTATCTTATGCTCCGCTCCCTGGAAGGTGGTGCTCCCCACAATCCAGCGGTGGACGGGTCTTTCAGCATGGTACCGTGCAGGGATATGGATCCTGCTCTTGTCTTATAGACGTCAGGACCCTAGACCTGAGGAGCACAGAGGTGCAAATCTTGTAGGGACCAGTGTAGCTTTGGGGAGAAGCAGAGGATTGGGTAAGTATATCTCATTTTATTGTTCCTCTAGGTATAAATGAGCAATTAACCCTTGCAGTGGAGGGCAGCCTCACTTCAAGGGATAATTTTTTTTTTGCCTGGAGTTGGGCTTCCATGACCATCTACTAATGAGCATGGATGCGGTTAGTGTTATGATGACACATTTTTCCCTCTGCTCTCCAGTACCTGGCCCCTGAGGTCCTGAGGAAACAACCTTATGATCGTACCGTGGACTGGTGGTGTTTGGGCGCTGTCTTGTATGAGATGCTCTATGGACTGGCAAGTATCATTTCTGAGCAGAGACAACTAGTACTGTCCTTGTAAACACTTTCAAATGTGCCTTTCTCATCACCCGTTGCTTTTTCTCTTTCTTCTATTTGTCTGCTCCCTTTTTCACTAAAGGCATGGTGCTTGCACAAGAGGTAAGGCCAGGTTGAGCAATCTCAGATTAGTGTCAGTAGGTCATAGTTTGTCTCTGATGGTATTGTTCTTGGACTATCTCCACCCTGTTATTCACACTTAACCCATTTCTTTACATCAGTGTCTGTCTGGACTCTGGACGTCAGTGAGATTTTTTTCTTGTGCTTTTCCAGTTTTTCATAGTTACTCCCCATCATGAAGCCCCCAAAAAACTTGTATGAGCTCCTGTGCTGGCCATACCGAAGAAAGAAAAGTGTCTGTGTTACCAATACTAACCACTTAGATCATTTTGATTGCTGTCATAGTTTGGCCTTACAGGGGGCCCCATTCATCTAAATGCCAGTAGATGAATGGGGCTTGACAGTAGGTGGCATCTGTCAAACTTGGCATGTCGCGTTAATGCCGTGGCAATGTGTCCTGCCCCAAGTGGCACCATGTCTGCATGTAGGTGGGTGGTCAGGTGGCGGTAAAAACAGATGGTCCATCCACGTATTTACTGACCTTCGAACACCCACCTATAGTCAAACTTGATGCCACTTGGGGCAGTACACAATGCCAAGGCATTACTGCGACATTCAGTCATCATCCATGTGAAGGATCCTTAGGCCGGCTATAGATGGATCGAAACTCGGCTGGTTCAGCAGGAGCTGGCTGAATTTCGATCCATATATGGGCAGGCTGGGGGTACTGAACTTGATCCATAGATTGACTTCAGTACCACCAGCATGTTTGGTTTTTTTTACTTGATCACTGCCGATGGCTATAGCCGTGAGCAATGATCATTGTATTCTGCTGGCGGGGAAGGCTTTAGGTGCTCCCTGCTGGCAGAACACAATAGCAGTGCAGGAGGGATTTCCATATCCACACTGACTGTGTTGACAGGAGAATCGTGCAATTTTCTTTCCTTCCACCAGGGGCGGACTGACAACTCATGGGGCCCCTGGGCAAGAGGGGATCATGGGGCCCCTGTGTCCTTGCCCAAACTCAAAAAAGCCTATGAAAAAGGTACCAGGGGCATCTCCTGGGGCCCCCTACTGACCCCGGGCCCTCGGGCACTGCCCGAGTTTCCAAATGGTCAGTTCGCCCCTGCCTTCCACCAATGGTTAACAGAAAGAAAATCACATAATATATGGCCTGCTCTTGTATGTGTTGTTCTGTTTGCAATGTTTATTCACCATGACTATTTACTGTTATTTACCTTTCCACTTCTTATCACCGAGCTGTATTGACTATCTCACCCATATTTCACATTCTCACCTCCGTCCTTCTTTGTCTCTGTTCAGCCTCCGTTTTACAGCCGGGATGTTTCCCAAATGTATGACAACATCCTAACCCAGCCGCTGCAACTCCCGGGAGGAAAGACAACCGCCACCTGTGACATCCTCCAGGGTCTTCTGCACAAGGATCAACATTGCCGATTGGGTGCCAAGTCTGACTTTGTACAGTATCTCCTTCCATTATATATTCATACCTCTTCTTATATTATTAGCTCTGTGTATTCAGAAAAATAAGTTAAAGGGTCAGTCAGGGCAGGATTCACCGTTAGACTTTGATCACATGTACAGCTAGGGGGTGATAAAACCATGCAGCTGAGCCATAGTTTTAATGCCGCCCAACCACCTGACTGAAGCTGAGCATGCAGCCGCTTGGGGCTGATGCAGCAAAAATTAAGCAGAAAGTTGCATTTGGCGGACATTACCACTGCCAAACATAACAAGTTTAAATTGGCCATGGGGCCATGCTGTAGTGCATGTTATTGTGGTGTGGTAGGGCAGGAAGGCAACATAACTTCTCCTCACCACATGTCAAATGCCCACTAAAGAGTGATCCACTCTTCAGAGGGCACTGCACATGTCAACAAGCCCGTAGGCACAGTATGCCTTTGCCTATAGGCAGCAAATGCAAAGAATCAAATGTTTCACAACTGCTCTGCACTCTACAATCACAGTTCTTTAAAGTAGAACTTTAGTCAGCAAGTTAGGTCTTGCTAGATCACTTCAGGCTGTCCCCTTTTGCAGGTATAGCTATGTAAAACATTAAAAATAAGGGACTATACTGTTTAATACACTGTCTCACCCTGCTCTGCACATGCTCAGCTGCTCTTTATTTTAAGGCACTGTGCCGAAATTCAGAGCCATTAGAGCAGGGGTCCCCAAACTTTTTAAACAAAGGGCCATTTTACTGGCCTTCAGGCTTTAGGAGGGCCGAATTGTGGCCAGTGGGAGTAGAAAATGCTCCAGTGTCAGTGGGATTAAACAATGCTCCATCATTGGTTTTAGTGGGAGAAATAGTGCCTCATTGTTGGCATGAGTGGGAGGAATAATGCCCCATCGATGGTGATGATAAGACAAATCCCTATCATTGGTGTCAGTTTGAGGAAAAGTATCTCTAGGGCCAGATGAAGGCAAGCAAAGGGCCGCATCTGGCCCCCGGCACACAGTTTAGACACCACTATACCAGAGGCTGATCTGTAGACATCCTAAAGATTTACTGCTACTCAGGGGATTCAGCAAAGCGGCAGCCTCCAGAAACAGGAGAAATGCTGGAAGCAATTTACAGCACGCACTAATTTTGGTAGCAAAATTATTAATGTGGAATTTATGTTTCTTGCTAAAAAAACATTATTTTTTATCAACTTGTTATGGGTAAAGTTCCACTTTAAGAAAACGCTGTACTTAGCTTGAAACATGTCAGAATGGAACTTTTTCCTGATGGCTATTTTAGTAAAAGAAGAATATAAGTTTGCATTTCGGTGTGCAGCATTCCTTTTGCTGCTACAATAGATGGAAAGGGGCAGCGTTTCCCTAAAGGCATGGTGCTGGCACAGGAGGCAAAGCAAGGTTGAGCAATCTCAGATTGGTGTTTAATAATTACACATTTTCTCAATCCCCAAATACAGTTATCTAATATTAGTTTAATATTGTCGTAATATTCTAAGCCAGGTTAGAAACAGTAAAACAAGAATATGTTCTGTGTAAAAATGGTGAGCCTAGCAAAGGGATTTTAACTTGTGCAACTACAGGCTCCAGTGATGGAAATCTGGTCCTGGCATCAGTCCATTCAACTGTGACCAGGGGCGGACTGACCATTGGGGAACTGCCCGAGGGCCCGGGGCCAGTAGGGGGCCCCATGAGATGTCCCTGGTACCTTTCATAGGCTTTTTTGGGTGTGATTTGAGTGTGGGTGAGGACACAGGGACCCCATGATCCCCTATTGCCCGGGGGCCCCATGAGTTGTCAGTCCACCCCTGACTGTGACCCATGGCACTCCAAATGGGAGGTATGCTAGATCATACCCTTGTCTCCCATGATGTAGCAGAGTCCCTGTGCACCAACTGTGACATTTTGCTACTAAACAGTGAGTTTTTGTGGGAAAGGATGTAACTTCAGCAAACTGAACATTGTAGAACTGTGATCCTCTAATTCTGGGGTCCCCGTGCCCCATAGTTGTAGTATAGGATTTGCAGGCTCTTGGCACAGAGGTGACTATGGAGTAGAATAAGGGAAAGGGGTAGGCGACCTTGTTACTCCAGCAGTTGTGGAACTACAAGTCCAGTTAGGCATTGCAAGACTGACAGTCACAGGCATGACTCCCAGTGGCAGAGGCATGATGGGATTTGTAGTTTCACCTACAAGGTTGCCTACACCTTGGATCAAGTGTCTCCAAAGCCCAAACTTTTTCTTTGTTTTGTTTTGGATAGATTAGTTGGCTTTTAAAACCTGTCAAAGTGTCCTACATCTGGGGGAATTACCTTCACTTCCTCTCTGTTAGACACATTAGGAAGTAAGAGGAAATCTCTGCAAAATAAGCAAAACAACCTCTCTAATCAGCCATAAGCATTGCAATCTCTGTTCAATCTCCTTCAGATTTACAAAAAACGTAATATGATGATACACCTAAACATCCCATTTCATTTCCTCTCCAAATCAGCAAGGTCCTTGCACTATATAGTTGATGGTATTAGATTGTATTGTGTATGGTCAGCTTTAGACAGTATGTTATGTTATACAAATAGATTGCATAGGGTCCTGGGGCCCAATTCATGACTCAGGGGCCACATGCTGCCCATTGGCACTTTTTGCATGGACCTCAGGGCCCTTGTGTGATTTCTAGTAGTCTCATGTAATATGTCTCCAGTCTATGACTGCCTACTGAAGCGTGTCCCCAGTTTCCAGTGACCTCTATAGCATGTTTACAGTCTCTGCTAGACTCCTGCAGCATGTCTGTAGTCTATGATCTTCTCCAATACCATGTCTGCAGTCTCTGACCATCTCTTGTATCATGTCTGTCTGCAGTACCTGACTATCTCCAATGCCATGCCCACAGTCTCTGCTCGTCTCTTGTACCCTGTCTGCAGGTTCTGACCATCTCTTGTACCCTGTCTGCAGTCTCTGACCATCTCTTGTATCATGTCTGCAGTACCTGACTATCTCCAATGCCATGCCCACAGTCTCTGCTCGTCTCTTGTACCCTGTCTGCAGGTTCTGACCATCTCTTGTACCCTGTCTGCAGTCTCTGACCATCTCTTGTATCATGTCTACAGTATCTGACCATCTCTTGTATCCTGTCTACAGTATCTAACCATCTCTTGTACCTTGTCTGTAGTATCTGACCATCTCTTGTATCCTGTCTGCGTTCTCTGACCATCTCTTGTATCCTGTCTGCAGTCTCTGACCATCTCTTGTATCATGTCTGCAGTCTCTGACCATCTCTTGTATCATGTCTGAAGTATCTGACCATCTCTTGTACCCTGTCTACAGTCTCTGACCATCTCTTGTATCATGTCTACAGTATCTGACCATCTCTTGTATCATGTCTGAAGTCTCTGACCATCTCTTGTATCCTGTCTGCAGTCTCTCTCCATCTCTTGTATCCTGTCTGCAGTCTCTGAACCTCTCTTGTATCCTGTCTGCAGTCTCTGACCCTCTCTTGTATCCTGTCTGCAGTCTCTGATCATTTCTTGTATCCTGTCTGCAGTCTCTGCCCATCTTTTGTATCATTCCCATAGTCTTTGACTTTATTCTGCTTTTTGTCTGCTTTTTCTGCCACTGAATATTAACCGAGTTTTATGTGCGGCCCTTTGGTAATGTCAAGGGCCGCACTTGAGGTCCCCCATATCAAAAAAGTTGACCACCACTGGTATAGGGTATGGTCAGCTTTAGACAGGTGTCACCAGGATAGGTGTTCCATTGGAAAATGCTCCCTCTAATTGTGTTCTGGTGACAACTCAAAATTTTGGGTTTTCCTACCACTTTCTTTCCCAGTGGCAATGGTCACTGGAACAACTAGAAGGGTGAATTAACCTAGCTGTGATGCAGCAATAAAAACATGACGGTGTAAAGTGAAAAGCGGACAGGGGTGCGGGACTACCACACCTTGAACTCTATCACATAGTGGCGGTACTCAGTAGAATTCCGGCTTGGTTCTCGCAGTCTTCAAGCAAGCTCTGGGTATTTGTAGAAAGGGATATTGTGCCCATGTCCCTGTTTGTTATACTATACATATGCACAGCGTTCTGACCTCCTGCTCATTCCCTACCGTTCCTAATCTCATCACCACTACAGGTCTGGGATTCAGCAATGCGCAGATATGCCATCTCCTTATATGTGGGACCCCTAACTCCACTGTTAGACAACCCCAAATTTCCTACAGGGCTGACCTCCCAAGAATTTCTTGGATGGTCATCCATGGGTCCTTTTCCTATCAGGAGGGAAGTCGGGTCCTCTGGCCTCAAAACTCCTTCAGACCTTTCACCTGCTGAAAGCCTGTGTGTTGCCCAATGGTTACGTTATCTACAACTAAAGCATTTTTTCCTTAAACTCTCTTCAATGGGGATGCTACATAGGGATTTAACGCCCTTTGAGGCCCTATGTTTACATGGTCCAGACTACCCTCACATAGTGTCCAGGTTATTTAAAATTTTGCTATCCAATGCATTTCCACTTCGCCCCTACTATGTATGAGATTGGGAGACAGAATTGGGACATTCTCTAACTGATCAGGATTGGGAGAAGCGTTCCTGTTGACTTTTAAGCTGAGCCTGTCCAGCCACACTTAAGAATGGAATTTAAACTACTTACTTGGTGGTACAGGATCCCAGCAGCCCTACACAAAAATTTGCACACAATACCGGATTGCAGCTGACGATGTGGTGAGGTGAAGATTACTCTTCTTCATATACGGTGGGCTTGCCCCTTAGGCCCTACTTAGGCCATTCTGGACCGCTGTTTTTACATTGAGCAGCCAAAGAACAAGTTGAATACGGCCATAGACTCCTGAGGTGGCACTGTTGTCAGTTATACCTGGGTCTGTAGCCCAGCTCAAAAAGGGTATCTTCCTTTTCCACATTACAGCAGCTTGTGCACTCATGCGTAGACACTGGAAGTCGGCGACCATCCTTTCTGTCAGGGAATGGGTCGAGGAGCTTAATAGGATTATGAGGATTGTAGAAATGGCTAGTCTGTACGATCGGTACTCATGGTTCGTGCAAGTATGGTTCACTTGGAATGATTTTTCTTCTTCCACCAAACTGCACCCATTTTTGTGACATCTTCTCATACTTTGGGGTGGCTGCAGAGGGGGTCTGGTGGGATTTCAGTCATGGACTTTTCTCTTCTTTTTCTGTCCTTTCTCTGTACTTCTTCAGGCCATGGTGGATCTGTTGTACTTGCTAGTGATTCCTGTTACTATGGGCACCCCTCTTGTTTTGGGCATCTTAACAAGAGCAATCTCTGCTGGACCCCAAGAATGTGCCTTGTTTTTATCCATCAACCCACATGTTGACCTGCGAGAGTTATGCAGTTGATCATGTTTACTTGAGGGTCCGCTTTGGCCATTAATGTAAGGTTACTACTGTTATTCTCAAGCTCTTATTTGCAAGTTGTTGTTTGGTATAATGGATCCTACAGTGTCTTCTTGATGATCTTTTGTGTTGGATTTATGTCTGTATTGCATTTTCTTAGTGAAATTCAATAAATCCTATTATTAAAACAAAAACAAAAAAAAAAAAAAAACATGACAGTGATACTAATCTTTCTCCCACTCTAGTCAACTCTATTTTAAACTATAATGAAATCTGGTGGAGTTCTTTAAATCCATTCCTGGTTTTTTGGGACTGAACGCTGGCGCAGTGGAGCTTAGTTTAGACATAGAATATTACTTTCCTACTCCCACTCCCAGGCTGAAAAACACTATTATTTTGCTGTTCTTTGTTGGCACAACAGCAGACTTACAAAGGAAGCACTTTTTTGGAGGTTGAGATTGTAACAAAGAACCTTTTACACAATCAGCACACCTCTTTGCCCCTGGTATGCATCAGGTTATGAGGAGCCTTGATACGGAACTTTCTGGGTTATTCATTAATCTTTACTTTGGGACAGTTAAAACTGCGGCTTAGCATAGTAATCCACTACTTAGGAGTCATATAAATCCAAAACTATTAGAATCATATGACAAATTCTCTGGGAGAACATGTGCCCAAGCAAAACTCCAGATCCTGAGTTCATAAACTCAAGATCCCGAGTTCATAAACTCAGGATCCCAGTACTCTGCCCCATGTACGTATCCTACCAGGGGTGGATACAGAACACTTGGTCTTGGGGAAAACAAACAACCAGCTCTTTCATGGTAAGAACAGATTTCTGTGGGCTAAAGAAAGCATGCCATTCAATACTGAAAACTGGGTGATACTACAGCTGGGCATACACTAAGATTTTCGAATGAACATTCATACAAACACTCTCATGATATGAAGAATGTCATTCGAAACTACATCAGTTAGACTGAAACATTTGCTTTTGGAACAAATGGACTTTACCAAATGAAACCAAATTCATTGCTTCAAGAAACATTTCCTATCCTGCCCCTTTGAATTTTCTCATTGCTTTGATCAAAAACGAACATGGATTTGACCCCACTAGCAATCAGAAAATTGAAAACTAGGTTCTACTGGTGTATGACCACCTTAAAGGACTTGCTTCATTATGACACACCTTAAAATATTTTGGCATCACCTTCCTTTGTGGCTATTGGCATTTAGTCACATGACGTCCCCGATTCGAAAAGGAGGTCAGTACTGGAAGACTGTAGGTCTGAACAGGGAGCTAGTAGTTTTATAACCACTTCAGCTCTGGAAAGCTTTACCCTGTTCATGACCAGGCTATTTTTTGCTATTTAGCACTGTGCTACTTTAACTGGCAATTACGTGGTCATGCAACACAGTACAGAAATGAAATGAAATATATATCATGTTTTTCAAACAAATAGAGTTATCTTTTGGTGGTACTTGATCATCACTGGGTTTTTAACTTTTTTTTTATAATATTCAAAAAAGACTGAAAATTTAAAAAAAAACAATATTTTATACTTTCTGCTACAAAACATATCCAATAACAACATTAAAAAAAATATATATAATTTATTCATAAATTTATACCAGAATGTATTCTGATACATGTCTGTGATAAAAAAAAATCCCAATAAGTGTGTATTGATTGGTTTGTGTGAAAGTTAAAACATCTACAAACTGTGGTATATATACTAGAATTTTTTTTTATACTGCTAATGGTGGTGATCAGTGACTTACAGTAGAACTGTGATAGTGTGGTGGGCAATCTAACACTAACTGACACTGGGAGGGAACTGACTAACTGACACTGATATCTCCAGTGACACTAATACAGTGATCAGTGATAATACTATACACTGTCACTGTACTAATGACACTTTCTGGGAAGGGGTTACCATCTCAGGTAATCAAGGGGTTAAATATGTGCCTAACAAGTGTTAACTTGTGTAATATGTGCTAAAAATTACTAAATATCTCTGTTTCTTCTCCCTGCTTTGCAGGGAGAAGAAACTGAGAGACTGTTCCCTCTGTACAGAGCCCTGTGTTTGTCAACACAGGCCTCTGGCTGTGGTGTGTACAATCACAGCAGGAGTTGTCAGGCAGGGGCACGTGCACGCGCTCCCTTTACCTGGTAGAGGCCAGAGATGTATAGATTTGTTGCTGTACTTGCACGGGCCTCCTGTCCGCAGTATATTGCAGATGGGTGGTCTGCAAGTGCATAATGCCCACCTTGAGCCCCTGACTGCAGGTCCCACTCTGATTGATGTCTGAATTGTGAAGTATTATTATGTCCAAGTAAAAGCTGCACTCCTAACAGTACTTGACCTTTTACCGACGTGTGCTCAAAGTGAATGCCATACCAGACCCAAAGATGTGGAGTGAAGTAAGTCCACTCAGGGCCACAAGCCCAACACATCTTGTTGGCACTGGCCCGGGGAGCAAATGACTACCTGCCCTTCAGCCCAGTTCTCCTCTGTGTCCTACTTCTGATGCAGCGGCTGGTGTAAATGTACCTTTAGAGCATGTCCCCCACCAGGTGCTTAGGTATGTAACATTCTATATATACACCTTTCCTGTGTTTCCCTAAGGCTGACCATATACTATACAATTTTCTGTCCAATTTCTGCCCAATTTCTTTTACATTTACCTTCAACTACAGTATGTAGTGCGAGGGCCTGCCTAATTGGATACAAGGTTTTGAAACAGCAGTGATTGTTGTTTAGCAATAACATAAAAATTTGACCTCAGGTTTGATTATATGGTTTTTGGTAAATCTACAGCAGAATTCTCAAGAAAATTGCATAATGTATGGTCAGCCTTAGGCTTTGATCTTCCACAGTCATTCAAAACTTCCTTGAAAAGAAATAATGTACACGGGGTTGTCTATGCAGGCCCTGTCCATCATTATGTGGCAGCACTCAAGCCTTGCAATTGTCTGTATATGCATCATGTATTGAATTGAAGTAGAAAGGTGAACGCAAGCACTTCACATGCAATTAGTAATGATTAAGGCAGAGGGAGCATGGAAAAAAAATTAAAGGATTAGAGGATGATCATTGTGCATGATATAGATCAAGTGCTTCATGTGTTCTATTACGGGGAACGTAAAGTCTTGAACAGATCCGCATTGACATACTGTGGAAGGGACTGGTTATAATTAATATGTAAAGACCTATATTATTCCAGCAATACAATGGCAACCTCTGTGTACTTAAAGCGGAGTTCCACCCATTTTTTAAAGTTCCTCTGTTTACATGGTTCGTGTGTTGTCCAGTACGATTTGGATACATTTTTTTTTTATTAATGTAAATATCTTAAAATCGTATTTCAGGACTGCACTTCCGGTCCCAGACACCTAGGCCATGACGTGTTAAGGAGATTCGCAACCTTTCCTGGGATGTCTTTTCCTGTATCCCAGGAGTTCTTTGGGTTCCTATTGACTGAATATTGCTATACTTCCAAACTGGACGTGACGCAAATGGGTGAAGTTTGGCACCATTTTACCGAAGTCCAGTGTGGGAAGGAAGTATAAGATCTGTGCTGTTCTAATTATTGTTGTGGGGCTTGCTCTGTTTCTAGACCTCACTTGCCTTCCCCCTGGTGTGATTTGATGGATAGTTTGCCATAAGGGGGCGGGAACTTCCGCCGTCCCCGCCTTTGTTATGGCAACCTGTTCTACAGAAGTGGCGCCGAGCAGTGTCAGTACTGCGCAGGCGCGAGATCGAGTGGTGCATGCTGGGATAACCAGCAGCACCAACTCCGGGAAACAAAAGCCTTGTGGGCTTCAGATGCCCACAGCCATCATGGTGCCTGCCTGCTTTCAAGATCAAGGTAAAGATTTACATATTTAAAACGAATTAGAAGGCTATAACTTATAACTTTATCCAATTGTTAATATTCTCGAAAAGGCAATCCTGGGTCAACTTTTAAAAAAAGTTTCTTCTGTTGACTGGAACTCCGCTTTAAGTAGATCCAGCATGAACAGGAAAGGCATGTTGATGTCCGTAGATATAACCCAGTGTCATTTCTAAGAACCTTTCACGTACTGTCATTCATGAGCACTGAGCCTCTGGCGTGCTAAAATAACGCATGGTGAATATTTCATTTAATGTGAATCTTGTTCTAATGAAATGTGTTATTTGTTCTGCAGATGGAGATCAAGAATCATGTCTTCTTCAGTCCCATTAACTGGGATGATCTGTACCATAAGAGGATTCCCCCACCTTATAACCCCAACGTGGTGAGTGAATGTAATCCTGAAATATCTAATAAAACCTATCTGGAGAAGGTTGGTCTTAGCACCTGTTCACACTACCTTGCATGCTCTGCAATTCATTATATGAGCATTGAGGCGCACTGAGTTATTTTGAATGGGCCCTAGTGCTGGAGAAATCATGCTTTGTGGTATGCTATAATGCAGGTGGTTGTAGCAACATGTTACGTAAGACACCCAGAGCACTGTTTTGAAACCTAAAGCCACTTAAACCCACAACTGTAAAATCATCCTGTATATGCAGTAAAGCATGCTTGTTATACTCACTGTGGAACCTAAGGGGTTAATCATCTGCATTGTGTAAAAAAGGCAGTTTGCTCCTTTCTTCTCTGTTCCTCCCCTTTTTCAAGCGACCAACTCTTATCTCCTGATAAGAGAGACTGAACCGTAGGCATTTGCACATGCTCAGTTTAGTGTGTATTGCTAGAGAGGTTTTTTTTCTTGGGAGAGTGCATATGATCAGCACAGGACTAATCAGCAATGGTCAGACAGGTCAGGAGTTTTGCATCCTCCTAGAGCAGTAAGAAAACTCCTCCTACAAGCTTTAACTAGTGCTGGACTGGACACTGATAGAAGTCACAAGACTGCTCTAACTGCTGATGAGAAAAGGTATTTAGCAGTTTTATATTTACTAAAATAATTGCATTTCCATGTTCTGTGTACTGTGGGAGACCAGATATAGTGAATGCAGGGCCCTGGGTTTAGTAACACTTTAAAGTGCAACTGTAGCATAGAATTCAATTGGAGTAGGAAACTGTTAAGCACCATGGTATCATCAAGTCCTCCTGTCAGACCGTATGTCTGGGATGTACCAGCAAGCAAATACACTGACAGCTTGCAAGAGTCCTGCATGGCACCATCTGCTGATCCCAAGTGCAATGCTTTCCAAGCTCAAAAAAAAAAAAAAATTGTAAATGCGCATTTTTTTACCTGGAAAAAAATGGGCTTTTTTTCATTTTTTTTTTAAATTAGCAAGAATAAATAAATTAGTGAGAATAAACATGGTCTTAGGATTGTTGGTCAGTAGGAGGAGGAGTAGTGCCCCACCATTGGTATTAGTGGGAAGAATTGTACACCATCATTCGTTTCATTGGAAGAAGTTCTGCCCCATTGTTGGTCTCAGTGGGAGGAATAGTGCCCCAAGGGCCGGATAAAGGGTAGCAAAGGGCCACAGTTTGGAGGCCCCTTGTCTACAGAATGGACAGGACCCTGTAAGTGTTACTTAACTACGGTAGACAAAAATCAGATCTCCCAGGCTTCCAGATAGGGATGTCCTGTGTGGTAAAACAGTGTAAATCTCATTATTGGATGGACAGAAATAGAAATACTTTGGTAGTAAAAAATAGTAAATACGCATTTTTTTTACCTGTAAAAAAATAGCCCTTTATTAATTTTTTTAAAAAGTATACTTATCATTTGTATTGTATAACATTGAGCAAACTGTTGGCGCTATATAAACCCTGTATAATAATAATAATAATAATAATAATCCTTTAAACATTGACCTATGGAAATAGGTACAAGATCTGTTAGGCCTGGTTCACCCTAATGCAATTTCAGATGAAACTTGAGTTGCACAGAATCGCATGACAAGGGAAATCACATTATTTTCAGTGGTCACATCAATGCAGTATGATTTTTGAAAAGGTTCTTGTGCTACTTTGGTGTGATTTACAGTACGATTTGGCCCCATAGAATATGCAAACCACATCCAAAACACAAGCAAAATTGCACTAAATAATCACACTGCAAATCCATGGCAATAGTGTGTGAACCGAACCTTAGGACTAAAAATGAAGACCGGTGGTATATTTAGCAGTTGGGATATAGAGTCAATCCGCTGTATATTGTAAGGAAATGAAGTGCTCAAACATTTCTGCTTGCAGGCTGGTCCAGCTGATCTGCGTCACTTTGATCCAGAATTTACGCAGGAGGCCGTGCCAAATTCTGTGAGCCGCACACCCGAACTGACCCTCAGCAGTTCCAGTTGCTCCAATGCTTTTTATGGCTTTTTCCTATGCGCAAAGTGATGATGACTTTTTGAGTGGAGATCATCTTGGAAACAGTGATTTTATAGGACAATAAATAATTCCATTTGGATGAACCAAGAACAACTCAACACCATCGGCCGATGAAATGGAGGATAAGTCCTAAAGATTGGTGCATGTGTCCTTTGATGTCATTATGTGTTCTGCAGACCAATCTTTAAACCGTTATATTGACTGATGAACAGAGATTAGGAAGACGAGTGTTTGTAAGCTCAAAGTCTTAATGTTGATCAATTTAGTAAGTACTGTATGATTACCAAGTGGCTTCCCGTTTTGACTTCACTGTAAATAGAGCACCCAGTCGTGTCATCCTCTTTGCTACTTATGTGGTTTATTATTACCTTTCAGAGTTTTTCCACGACAAGTAAAAGTAGAAAACATCCTTCCGTTAGATGGAAGAAGCCCAGTGGTGGGGCTCCTCTATTAGGGATTCGCCATACACACCTTACTGAATCTTCTACAGCAGTCCCACAGGCCTCATAACTAGTTGGCTTTCTTTATCTGAGATGCACATTACTCCAACACAATCACTTTTTCGTAGATATGTGGAGTTTGAACAGTCCAAGTATTATGGGGTCATTGGAGTGACTTACAATCAGCCAGTCTGTGGTGTCCAAGGGATAGTGGCTGCTGTACATTACTCTGCTACTCAAGGATTTTTTATTTTTATTATTTTACTGAACAGAAAACACTTTTAAATGACCATCAAGAGCCATAGTATCAATCCCACATATTCACCATAGCATCTTTTTTTTCAGTACCAGTGGAAGAAAAGTAACTCTGACTATTCTTAAAAACCTTTCTTCCACCCCGCACCCACCTATCCTGCATACTGTGTATAAAAATCACTTGTGTACTTACCTCTTTTTAATTCTTTATGGTCATGTGATCCCAGCAGCTCCGGCTTACCTGTGTCAATGAGTGGCTGCTGCAGGGGAGAGGAGGGAGCACCAACAACAACTGAGCCATGGGAGTCTATGGGTGACATCTTGACTCTAGGTATTCACAGCCATTGTTGAGCGCTCCCTTATACAGGGGAGGCGGAGCTGCTGAATTATGTGACCAGACTGGATCTGATTAACAAAAGGTACATAGATCTTTTTTGAACACGGTATGCAGAATAGGTAATGGGGGTGGACTTTTTTTTAAGGCTAGTTGGAGTTGTTTTACTACCACTTAAAAGTTGAACTCCAAGCAGATATAAAAGATACCTATTCATGCAGCTCTGTATCCATTAATCCATTATTAAATGCATTTATTTACATGCAAGCAGTGTAGTATCAGTCTTTTGCAGTCCATTGTACAGCAGAGCTCACACTGGGAGAGGGAGACAGAGATTAATATGACAATCAAGTGTACTGTATTGCTCATGTACTAACAATGGACAAGGTGAGAACAGAGCAAAATGGAGAAGAGATCATCAGTCTGTCTGCTGTTCTTTGTTCACTGTCCTGCCACAGTCTAGGGCAGGGGTCTCCAAACTTTTTAAACAAAGGGTCAATATACTGTCCTTCAGACTTTAGGAGGGCCGGATTATGGGCCAGTGAGGATAGAAAATGTCCTGGCCCCAGCATTAGTGAGAATAAACATGGCAGCAGGGTTATGGAAAGTAGTAGGAGTAGTGCCCCGCCATTGGTATTAGTGGGAAGAATTGTACACCATCATTGGTTTCATGGGAAGATGTACTGCCCCATTGTTGGTCTCAATGGGAGGAATAGTGCCCCAAGGGCCGGATAAAGGGTAGCAAAGGGCCCCATCCGGCCCTCGGGCTACAGTTTGGAGACCCCTGGTCTAGGGGACGGATAGAACCTGTAAGTGTTACTTAACTATGGTAGAGAAAAAGCAGATCTCCCACGCTTCCATATAGGGATGTGCTGTGTGGCAGAACAGTGTAAATCTCATTATTGGATGGACAGAAATAGAAATACTTTGGTAGCTAAAACAACTCCTATATATGTATGTTACCCATGTGCAGTATTTAGCTGTTTGTCTGGAGTTCAGCTGAAACAATGCCTTCCCATGGTCATCACCTGATCAAAGCCTATGATAAGGTGATCCTATTCAGCCCTAATGTAAATTCTCTGTGTGTGAAGCTTGCTTTAGGCCAGGGGTACTCAACCTAATGAAGAGCGAGGGCTACTTAAGTGATTTGATAACTGGTAATGAAAATTAAATAATGAAAAGAAATAGTTCAGAATTTCGAATTTTTTATTTTGAATAGTATAACAAACATTTTCCTCCTGCAACCGCTAAATGCCGACAGGGGAGAGAAGGAGAAGCCAGATTTCAGTGGTAGCAGGAGAAAAATGGAAAGGATCAGTTCCTGCATATGCCCCTCCTGTGCAAGCGTAAAACAGAATGTGATAGGGAGCCCGCATGGGCCCTCTGGAGCAAGGGGCGGGGGTCAACATTGCGACCCCTGATGCTACATCAGTGGTTGGGGGTGTGTGGTCCTGACTGTCTTGAGCCCCCTATAAGGCTGATTTCACACTGATGTGCTGCGGTTTACCTGCACTGCAGGTGCAGCGCAAGTGCACTTGTGGCATTCTGGCGTGTTAGCTTCACTTTGCCATAGACTTCTATTATATCTTGCCATCCGCAAGATATAATAGAAGTCTATGGCAAAGTGAAGCTAACACGCCAGAATGCCGCAAGTGCACTGCGCTGCACCTGCAGTGCAGGTAAACCGCAGCACATCAGTGTGAAATCAGCCTTATAGGGGTGTACTTTCTAAAAGTGCACCAAAAACTACTGCATTCAGATGTTTTTGGTGTACTTTCAGAAAGCAGACCAAACCCGCAGGATATAATAGAAGTCTATGGTTTAGTGTTGCTAACACGCAGGAATACCACTGGCGCACTGTGCTGCACCCACAAAACAGCGTGAAAGCAGCCTAATAGATGTTAACCCTTTTATAGGTGCTAATATGCTGATTGCAAAAGTGCAGTGTATGTGGTGTTTAATACACCAACCTTCTTTTCCTCTTCCAACTTCTGCTGGCATCGCTCTCCAAGCACTAGAAAGGTCCCAGGCAAAGTGCACTTGGTATTAGTCCACTTGGGACAGGAGCCAACACTACAGATAAAGCATCAGTGTATGCGGCTCCTGCTTCCTCTATATGGCGGGTCGGCAAGTCCAGATCGCAATCAACAGTTTGCCGACCCGGGGCATGTGCATGCTCCCTGGTTTGAGGCCATGGGCCATATCAGAGGGCTCTGCGGGCCATGGGTTGAGCACCCCTGCCTAAGAAAGATCAAAATCCAACAAGTTCAGCAGGGACCTGACAAATTTCGGTCCATATATGGCTGTCCATGTTCAACAGAAGTTGATTGATGGATCAACTTTTGTAAATCAGCATCTGCAGGCAATCGGTGATGAGTAGTATTTTCTGACAGTGGAGAGTCCCGCTGTTAAAATACAATATTCCCTGACAGGTGGGATTACTCCATCCACCTTGTTTGTGTGGATGGAGGAATCTGTTTTTCTTTTTTTTCATTCAGCCCGCTGGCTGAAGAAAAAGAAATCAACCATCTATGTAGGATTGCCACCTCATCCCTTTAAAACTGAACACGCATTAATTACACAGATTCTGTGGCTGATTAAGGTTGTAATTAAACTCACTTAGTGCCTTATATGCATTAAATTAGCCTCAGAACCTGCGTAATTAACCGCTTTCCTGCCGCCCTATAGCAGATATACTGCTACAGGGCGGCAGGGGTGTGCAAAATCACGTATATATACTTGATTATGCATTTCCTGGTAGGCGGCATGCGCGCCACTATTCACGGCCTTGGGTCACACCCGGTGATTACTCACTGGCACTTGGTGACCCCTGAGCATTACCGACGGGGGTCATGGGCCAACTAATGGTTTCTATGGCACTGTACCTTACACAGTATAATATTTTATTTACTGCTCAACCAAGCAATACTTCCTGCAATGTCTTGTTCTGTTCTACAATTTGTTCTTCTATAACTAGACAGAATACATTTACAAATATTTACATTCACAAAAAGAAAATTTTAAACTTTTCACAGGCTCTGGTCAGTTATCCTAAAAAAATTACCATTTTTCAGTGTCTTGCCATCAGTTAATCTACAAATCTTTGAAAAAAAAATTGTGTTATAACTAAGGATGCCTACAGGCATGATGATAGACTATAGAGTATGACACTTACTAGAATACATTATCATTGAGTTAGTCTTTCTTTCATGGTTAAAATTGAATGTCAAAATGTAACTGGTATCAGGCGCAATAGCTGACTATGTCAGGACATTATCAAAATAGCTTCACTACATCGTCCTCATGTGCATTTTGAACACCCTGATGGGGTCTGAAGAGTTGTACATGCATTTTGAGTAACAGCCTAGAAAGAAAGACTATTTTTTGCACGTGCCTGGGAACGGGCCCTAGGCAAATCCTTCAAGCAGAGGTATGGACTAAAACCTATATCCTAACTCACAAAATATTCCCGTCATCATCTGATCCCTGCTGGTGAATATCCAGGTGGTATGTAGATGTTCAACCACCCTGAGAAAAATATTCCCATCACCTGATACCTGCTGGATGATATTCAAGTGGTATGTACATTTTCAATCATCCTATGGAAAAATATTATCATCATTTGACACCTTTTGAAGATGTAATGATCAACTGGCCGGCCAACCTCCATATTTGGTGGAGTATTCAAAAAAACGAAATCCTTTTTGAGGAAAGTTTTCCAGATATACAATAAGATGCAGGCAACAGAGGTGATGGGAAGCCCAGATATTGGTCTACTGTCTATTCTCCTAGGCTCCCTCAAGCGCATTAAATTTTGAGACACTGCCTAGTGACCACTAGGTCTGTTATCTACAGATATTGGAAATTGCCAGACACTCCATCATTGGCCAAGAGGGCCGTAATCATGAACGATCTCATTCAGTTGGAGAGCCTGAAAGTTGGAGAGTTTATTAGTATGGATTCCATCTGGCCCCTATCCT